CTGCAGCCCCCGCGGCCCCGCGCCGCCGGCCGCGCGGCGCCCACTTTGGTGCCGGCGCGGCGCGGCGGCGGTGGAGGCCCCGGCGGCGATGGCGGCACCGACCCTGAATGCCCGCACCCCAACAACGTATATGTCAACACCCTCGGGCTTATTCGGCCGACGAATTGGCTGAAGGCCCAGCGCGGCTCGGGGCTGCATCATGCAAGCAACATCCTCAAGGCGTGCGCGTGCTGCGGGTTTAGAGGCCACGCCAGCCCGCAGTGCCGCGTCCCCCGCTGCGGCCGCTGCCGGCGGTTCGGCCACGAGGCAGCAGACTGCGCCGCCGCGTGCGCCGCGTGCGGCGTCGGCGGCCGCGCGTGCGGGGACGAGGGCGGCCATCATCGCGCACGGGAGTGCCCGTTCAACCGGTGCCGCGGGTGCGCCCGCGTCGGGCACTACACAGCAGAGTGCGCGGGGGACGCGCCGGCGGAGGCGCCCGCTGCCGCCGCCGTGGCGGCTGCGGCTGCACACCCCGCAGTCGGGGACGTGGTTCCCTCGACCGACCAGATCACCCAGGTCCAGATCACGGCCCGGATCGAGGCGTTGATGGACAGGCTGTTTGAAATAGCGCCCGAGATCGCGATCGAGCTCCTGGGATCAGAGGGCGTAGCCAGGCTGACCGAGGCGCTGTCTTGCGGCGGCCCCCGGGCCTTCGACGAGATCGCCGCCGCCGCAGATGCGGATGCGGGTGGCGGCGGCGGCGCCGCCGTTCTGTCCACCATCGACCGCCTGCGCCGCGCTGCGGCCGCACACGCGCCTGCGCCGGTCGTGCCGCCTCCGGTGCCGCGGTGGGGCGCCGCCGTCAGAGCGACCGCTGGCGCCGCAACGCCGCCTGCCAACGGGAGTGGGAGCACCAGCCCAGACAGGCGCCGCCCGTCCCCTGCGACGGCCGCGCAGCCCCAGCCCTTGCCGCTGACGAGGATGCACCCTGCGGCCGGCGGCAGCGAAGGCCCACAGGCGCCGCCGCCTGCATCGCCGCCGCCGCCGCCCCCGGCCCGCCTGGTGTTGCTGTGTGATGCGGTGTGGCCCCCCTCCAGCGGCCCCCACGGCCTGCTGAAGGGCGCACTGGCCAAGATGCTGCTCACACAGGCCACAGGCGGCGGCGGGGGGTGGGACGGCAGGGTGTGCTGGACGCCGCTCGCGCTGGCTGGTGGGTGGGCGTACTCTTGGCGTATTGGTATCATAGTGGGCGTTTGGGGGGCAGGGCTGACTGGGCACCCTGGTCGGGCAGCCGAACCCTGTGCCGGGTCGTGCGGTGGCCGTCAAGCCAATTAGTCTGCCACTGCCGCTGGCCCGATCACGCCCTGGGATTGGCGCGCCTCACCCCTCCACAAGCCCTGCCGTTCTCACACGGTCCCCTGCCCGCCCCTGCCCCAAGGCCCCCGCCTGCTGGCGTTCTGGCGCGGGGAGCAGCGCCTGTTTGCGGCGTCCCCGGACGGCGCCCCGCCCTTCAGCAGCCTGGCGGTCATGATCACGGGGGACCCCTACCTCAGCTGCAGGGCGCGATCAGCCGCAGGCGGTGGCGGGGGCGGCGGCGGCGGCGGGCGCGGCGGCGCTGCGGGGCCTGTGGGGGGCGAGCTCTGTGTGGTTCTGGACGCGGCCAGGCTGGCGCAGTGGGGTGGGTGGCTCTTGGGGGTGCTTGAAGCCGCGGCGGCTGCAAGAGCTGCGTGGACGTTCGCTGAGTTGATTGTGCGATTGAATCACCAAGCAGCTCGTTGTGCTGGCATTGGTCTGGACCCCGGCTTGCATCCTTATCCATCTTCACCTTGCAATACCCAGGCTCGGCGGCGCCGCTGCCGTCGTTCGCTGGCCTGATGCTGTTGATTGACGAGGCCTGGGACATTGGGGGCGGCGTTGATGAGCCCCCGAACCAGGGCTGCGGCGGTGGCGGCGGCGGCGACGCGGCCCAGCTGGCCCCCATACTGCTCAACTGGGCGGCCAAGATGATGGCGGCGGAGGGCAACCCAGGAGCGTCCACCTGGCAGCCCAGCGCAGCGCTGAGGGTCAGCCCCAACGACGCGGCGTACTCGCTGCTGGGCTCGCGCTGCGGTGAGGAGGGGGAGGGGGGTGCGGCTGGGCGTGGTCTGCGACCAGTGGGGCTGCTTTGACGTAGAGGTAGCAATTTGCCCTTGAGTCGTGATGCATTGTGAAGGCTGTGATCATGTTTGGGGGGTTGTCCGCTGAATGTGTGTGTGGGGGGGTGGTTACGGAATACCGGGGCCGGTTTCACAAGTTTGCTTGTGAGGGGTTCAACTGATGTCTGACTGGGCCCAAGCATCAATTTCCTTGGTTCAAGCTTTGGCATCCAATGGAACGCACGGGCACACACACACACACACACACACTCACAATCACTCTCACGCACACGCACACGCACACATATACATACATACATACACAAACCCGTCCGCATCCCCACCCCCCAAAACCCCCCAGGCGACGTGCTCCGCGAGCTGTGGCAAGCGTGCCCCGCGACCGCACCGCACCCCTTCCCCAAGGGCCTCACAGCGGCCGCCTTGCTGGACGGCCAACCCCTGTTTACATCATGGGTCGACCCCACCAACCCATCGGTGAAGCGGTACGGTCTCGACTTATACCGCCTGGTCGGCTGCCCGCGGCCGGCGGGCTAGGGCAGACGGGGCGGCAGGGGCGTGGCGGGCTGGGCAGGCGTGAATGCCTCGACCGAAGGGGCGGTCGCGGCGCGGCGCGGCGCGCGCGCCGAGCGGGGTGTGAGCGGCGCCGTGCAGCTGTTGTCGTGGTGGACCGCGTCGGGCGTGCGGAAGGGGGGGGTATCCTCCTCAGCGAATGTCGAGCAGAGGCACTCTGGGGCACAGGGCCGGCGGCCGTGCAGCCTCGCCAGCTGTTGTGTGGACTTTCTGCTCGTGTTCGAAGCGAGGGCTGGCCGCAAACCCGCACACGCAGCCTTTTGGTCTTGTGAGGACACCTGTCACTCTATGTGGATTCGACAAACAGCGCTGAACCTTCGTACCCTGCTTTTGCCTGACGCACGGCCTGCGCACGTCGCCTAGCAGTAGCAACGCACCCGCGTGTGACAGCTTTGTAAGTCTCTGGCTTCCTTGTGGCTGGTGCATATTGCTGGCGGCTCGCGAAGAGACAAGATGCGTCCCAAACAATGCCATCGCAGACCCCGCCGCAGCCGCCACACTCAGCCCCGCGCGCGCCGGCCCAGCAGCCGCCACGGCCATGGGAACCCGTTTTCGACGGACATCTGGCCCCGACCACTCACGAGCGCCTGAATACGCGGGGGCTTGCACGCTCCGCCGCCTGCCGGCGCCACCTGGGCGGCCCGGGCGGCCCATCTCTCAATGGCTGCACTGGGCGGGCGCTCGACCATCCGCATACATGGCTGCAGGCCCGCGCGTGGGGTCGCCTCAAGATCAAGTGTTGGCTGGCGCGTTCGTGTCTGACTGAGTGGAAAACAAGGCGCTGGTCTCAGGAGGGTCCCGTCTGCTGTATGTCCTTGTGCAAGGGCTGTGTCTGGCTTTTGCTGCTGGTGGCACCTTGGGATCCCACGTTTGCAGTAGGCCTGTTATAAGGTACAAATCCTTGCGCGCTTCTGACGCAGCAGGCCAGGAGGTGCGCTCGCACTCGCGCATGTGGGCGGCCGGGCACCAGCACGGCCACAAACAGCCCCAGCAGCTCGCATCACCCTGCAGTGGCGCGCTCTGGCGGATGTGCAGCTCAAGGGGATGGCAAATCGATCGACGCCCCATCGCTCCCCACTGCGCGCGCTTGTGCAGCAAGCAGCTGTCATCGAGTCGCACAAGCAGATGGTCCCAGAGCTCGTAAACTGGGTCTTGCACAACGTTAATGGCTCGGGATATGGTCTGGAAGAGCGCAGACCGCACACAGACTATGCGGGGCACGCGCAGATGGACGCGACAACGCGAATGGTTTCTGAACTCCGCCTGTGGGTCCCAACAGCGCTGCGCACGTACGTCTGACAGAAGTTGCGCATTTAAGTCTTGCTGTGTGTGTCAGCTCTGCTCCGCAGCGTCTGCATTCGTCACCCCGCACAGTAGCGCACTGACCTGCGGCCACCAGCCTCCGCCGTTGCCAACCTCGCTGTTCAGTGATGCCTGATGCTGGGGCTGAATACTTGAAGCAGCCACAAGATTTGGGGCTTGGGTGTTGCGGGCAACTGTGTTGGTTCAAGATGCGCTTTGGGCCAAGCAAGTGGGGGCCAAACATCAGAACCCCGCCACGTTTGCTATTTTCCCTCTCATTTCTGACCTCAAAGCATTGGAGGGTGACCATTTGTCCAGCCACAGGCCTGAATCTCGGCTAGACGGGGAGATGCACTCGGCCCGTTGGGGTCGCCGGTGGCTGCCGCGCGGCTGCCGCGTGACTAAGGCTCCTCCTCCTCGACGGTCAGCCCAGCCCAGCCAATGCGACCCGCAGCCAGCCGCCAGGCATGCAGCCAATGAGCGCGACCGAGAGTACAGCAAGACGGTCGTGATGAGAGCAGGGGCTGCTAGCAGGTTGTGTGTGAGGGGTCCTGGATTGCTGTTGTGCTCAGTTTGGCATTTGAGTCGTCATCGCACGCCCACAACATCTGTGTCAGCACCACGCCAGCTCGCTGTCCCCTCCGCATTCAACCCAATCAGCAGTCCATATTGTATCTGATTTAAAATTCGCCCGCTATCATAGTCGTGGTAGAGGGGTTCTGGATTCTACCACCGCCAGCAGCTATTCTCCTGCTGCACTGGCACGCGCATGCAACAGCACGGTCGCGTCACCCGTCGTCTGCCACCAGTAATACCCGCTTGCTTGGTGGCTACGGCCCGAGTTCGTAGTCCAGACATGTAACACCTGGCTTATAAAAAGAAGGGCAGATGCGCTGCTCTGAGAACGAGCAGTGTTGCTGCCGCTGGGCTGAGTGGTGGTGACCGCAACAGCCCGCGGCTGGGAGCTGCCCGAAGCTGCAGGCTGCCGCCTGCCTGTAGCTCGCGTGGCCCAAACCACCTGATTGCAGGCCAAGACGGATCCCAATCTGGCTTTCAAATCTGCGGATCCTAGGGCATGTAGGATCGCTGAGCGCTCGGCGGCCAACAACCTGTCACGCCCGCGTGCGTGGCTGGCGCCCAGCTGCCCACCAACCACCCATGATGCTCCTGCTCGGTTACCATGCGCAGCAGCTTCGGGTGGTGCTCCGTGACTGCCCAGAGGCTACGCTCCTGCACAAGCTTCCCCTTGCCTACACTTTTTGCATGTCAGCCTGACAACCGCCTGCCAAGCTGTTGAAGATCCGTGTGCCGCCCAGCTCCTGCGCAGGCCCCGTCCTAGATCCGCTGCACGAATCAGTCATTGCCACCGGCAAGCAGCCCCATACCAGCCACGTCGGCGCCACACCAACCACCCCTCTGCTGCTACCATGCGGGTAGCCGCCGGCAACGCCGCATATTGCATGCCACCAAGACGAATCCATATTCCTGTTCATATCCCTGTGCCCGAGGCAGCCCCGGCACCACACCAGTGCTTGCCCCAAGCAGCTGCGACTCTGACCCCGCGCCGCCTTTCGTACAGCTGCTCCCCTGCCTGCTGTCCAAATCACTCATCCGCAGTACCGCCATATGGTCGCCGCGCAGCAGGCCGCCCCCCTGCAGGGCGCCGGCCAGGCCGTTGGATCCAAATCCCAACCATCTTGGGGGCTGTTGCCTTTCAACGGTCGTGCAGCCCCTGCCGAATCGCGATGCCGCCACGCATGAGCTCCCGGGCAGCAGGGTCCGCGCGTGGGAGGCGGGGCACGGGCTGCCGCGCGCCATGTGCAACGCAAGCGCTGGGAAGCTGCGGTATTGTTGACGCACACTCATCGGTTAACCGCTGCCAGCGGACAGTGTCCATCAGCGGCACGGCGACAAACGAAGGCTTTGTGTGCAATCGACGGAGGACACAGCTAATATATAGATGCAAGATCTGCGACGGCTCGACTCACGCAAGCATCTGCATCGCAAGAGTGGGGGCGGCTGAGCCTGGTAGCTGCCAGCAGGTCCTACGAGCGCCACGGTCCAGGGGGCGCCGACTCAGGTGCCTCCGAGGCAAAGCTTTGAGTCAAAGCTTTGATCCCTGCGCATGCACTGCTTTGACTACCCTGTTGTGTGCTGGCCCTCTTGTTGGCCCCGCCGGCCCCCCTCTGCTGCATGATGAATTGAGCACCTGCAAGCCTGGCGCCGTGCAAAATAAATGCATTGTTCAGCCGATTACGCAAAGAGCGCTTTTGTCGGTATGAATCTCTGCTGACAATTTTGTCAGCAGCAGCCAGTTGGCTGGCTCGGCCCCTCACCCACCGCCGCTCAGTCGCTCCGCCACGGCCACCCGGGGCCATCATTCAGTCGTTGCCACCGGCGCGGTGTCGCTGCTGCACGGGTTGCAACAGCAATTGCTGCATGCAGGGCGGACAGCGTGGGCCCCGTTGGACACGCTCCTGTCGCTCGCTCAAACCATTGGCAGCTTCGAGCTCGGGTCTATCCAAAGCAACTGTCTCCCGCATGATGGACTTCGGGCACCGACCACTCAGTCGACGCTGCCGCATCGCCTCACGCGCACCTGAATGCGCAATCCGCTGCCTGCTAGTGCCACCATGGCGGCACGGGCGGTCCCTGTCTTAATGGCCGCGTTGGGCGGGCGCTCAACCACCCGCATGCATGGCTGCAGGCCCGCGCGCGGGGGCGCCTCAAGATCCGTCGTGTTGGCTGGCGCATTCGTGTCTGACTGAGTAGAGAGCAAGGCGCTGGTCTCTCGAGGGTCCCGTCTGCTGTCCTTGTGCAAGGGTGTGCCTGGACTTTGGTGCTGGTGGCAATTTGGTTGGGGTGCCACGTTTGCAGTAGGCCTGTAATGGCTCCAGGAGCGGGCGACCGCGGGATCGTGTAGCAATCTTAATCCTAATCCTAATCCTAATCCTGTGATGAGGTACAACTCCTTGCGCGCTTCCGGTGCAGTAGTCAAGGAGGTGCGCTCGCGCTCGCACATGTGTGCGACCGGGCACCAGCACGGCCACAATTAGGGCCAGCAACCCGCATCACCCTGCAGTGGCGCGCTGGCGGACTTGCAGCTCAAGGGGATGGCAAATCGATCGACGCCCCATTGCTCCCCACTGCGCGCACTTGTGCAGCAAGCAGCTGTTGTCGAGTCGTACAAGCAGACGGTCCCAGAGCTCGTAAACTGGGTCTTGCGCAACATTAATGGCTCGGAATATGGTCTGGAAGAGCGCAGACCGTACACAGACTATGCGGGGCACGCGCAGACGGACGCGACAACGCGAATGGTTTCTGAACTCCGCTTGTGGGTCCCAGCAGCGCTGCGCGCGACCTTCTCACACAAATTGCACTTACTCGTGTGTCTTGCTGTGTGCGTGTCAGCTCTGCTGCGCAGCGTCTGCATTCGTCACCCGCCACAGTAGCGCACTGACTGTCCTGCGGCCACCAGCCTCCGCCGTTGCCAACCTCGCTGTTCAGTGATGCCTGATGCTGGGGCTGAACACTTGAAGCAGCGACAAGATTTGGGGCTTGGGTGTTGCGGGCAACTGTGTTGGTTCAAGATGCGCTTTGCGCCAAGCAAGTGCTGGCCAAACATGAGCACCCTGCCAATTCTGCAACGAACCCTCTTACTC